TATCAATCTCGGACGGAATCATCGGACAGAATACGAAATTATCACCCGTTTCACCTCGACGTCCGTCGTTCCACAACTGAGCTTTATTGCCGTAAACCTCCACTATGTGGAATCAGCTGACTTAGGGTCCTTCAAGATAAGAGCGTACTAACTTCTAAAAGGCCGGCAACGCACTCGCGAGCCCTCTCGCCTTGAGAATGTCCATGGGCACTTTTATCACTTAGCATCAGTGAGCCTCCAGCCTGTGAGAAAAAATCTAATCTATTTTATAGTGACACGGGATAAAGCAGTCGATAGCAATTTGACGTTTATAAATAATATACAAACTTTTGTCTTAATAACAATAATATTTTCAAAAAAATAAGTGAAACAAGATATATGGACAAATGAAGGCGGCCATTACGTTTTTCACATTGTGTCAAATGTCAATTGAATACATTCTTTTGTATTATGATTGACATTTCTTGATAATTGTGGTTAGTTAACCATATAGCTAAAATATATCTTATTTTAATAGCTGCCACCACGAATTTCGTTTCGCCTTATTATGGTGTTTTACCTAGCCTACGAAAACGAAGGGTTTTTCTCTTTATTAACCTTCGTCAGAGTTCAAGGAATACATTTTAATAAAATACTCGTATTGGTCCAGCCGTCTTCTAGTTTTGAGCTTAGCAACATATTTCCATAACTACCCTCACGCTTTCGGTTCTACAAAAATAAGATGTTTTGTTTCATTGCTTCACAAATGAAGTTGCGAGCACCGGCTCCCATAAACTATTAATTTATTTATAAATGTTTACAAATATCATCTTCAATACATTGATACCTAAATTAATTACATGAGAGCTTGATTAATTGTTTTTCAATTATAAAAAAAAACACGTGATCATATCTTTCAAACAAATTAATAAACTACCGAATCTTATTTTTAATCAATGATAAAGTTTTGTGTTAAATGTCTGACCTTAAGGTGTTCAATCAATAAATATTTATTATTTATAATTAATCGTACTTTTACGGCTTACCCTTTATCTATGGTTATTATATATGTACAACATTAGAGAGAAAGATATCTTTATTAATATTTGAATAAAGTAAAAAAACACCATTCGAATGCTACATTGTTTATTAGCATAGCATTTTTTCCAAAGTATTTCAAAATTAAATCTTAAAGTAACAAGTAAACGTAGGTATTATAAAAGTATATTACTAAGGCACAAAAACATCTGATATTAACTCTAAAATAAAGGGAAACAACCATTTTAAGCATTTGGATAATATTTTATTAAGAACAGCTGTAACATCTCAATCTAAAAAATACGAAAGCTAGCGCCGTTTCAAAAGGTACAACTCTCCAATCAAGTCAAGTCTGGCCCTCGTTTGTTATATTAAATAAATTCTAAATAGATAATAATCAAACGCTTAAAAAATAACGCGTGTTTGATCTTTTAAAATCGCATTGTTCAATCTTTTCTTGTTCGCGATTTACGCAAATGTCAAAACATTATCAATTATTGCGAATCGATAGCTCCATCTCGGCTCAATGCGGCGGCCCTGTAATTTGTCGGCGAGTGTCGGCCTTTGTCGGTCATTACGGCTGATAGTGAAATCATAATCACCATTAACGCCCCGTAGCACCCGAAACCGGGATAAATATAGAGTATAAATATCATTAAAAATATAATAAGTGAAGTCCTGTCATCTCGGAGTTGTCATTTTTCACATTAGCTAGTCATTATGCAATTTTTTGTTTTGTTAATTAACACCCAGAGTTGTTGATGTGTAATTGCTTACTTTGACTGTTATTATTTGAAACTAAATCAGCTATTTGATTGACCTTTGGTTCCTTAAATAATTGACGTCAACAGGGCCAAGTTATCATTGTTAATCGAGACTATACTATTATTAAAGATGTTTGAATTGACTCTAAGTATTGCCTTTATGTACCAGTCAATACTTAGCTTTGAGTTACTTTAGTTAAACTCAATATATTTATACCTACTTATCTCCAACTCTCGACTCTGATTCAAACACAGCTAAATTAAAAATATAGTAATCCCTCCTATAGGTAGTTTGGTTTAGCGTTATAGGAGTATTCTCGCATAACGCGCTTTTATGACCCCATATAACGCGTTATGTACAAATATTCGTTAGAGGGGATTTAAATAATAAGAAAAAACTATGTTATGAACGAAATATCAAAAATCATTATAAATATCACAGTACAGAAGTATAACGTGCGCAATTCCGCGTTATATGTGGGAATACGCGTGTAATATGAAAATGCGTTATAAGAGTACCGTGTTATAAGGGGGTTTACTGTAATTTACTGTTTAATAATAAAATATACCTTTGTCGGACTACAAAAACAGTTACCTTAATTCAAGGGTCTATCTGTATTGAAACTGTTATTAAGCGTTTTGATTTAATAAATAAGCATGACGGGATTCCGTTCAAAATTGGCATGACAAGATGGCGTGTCGAATTTAATCTATCACCAAGCCTCGGGCGCCGCGTATTAACAGGTATAGGTATCCACTAATGTCTATAAAAACACAATAGATCGTTCCTTTATGGTTCGTTTTCATATATCTAATGGCCATGACGAAAAATACTTTATGTCTGCATAAAATTGATGGCTAATGTAGGCATAGTGACGCGTAATTATTATATTTATAGATTTTGTATATAACAAAAAAATACACAAAGAATTTATGTATCTTTTGAAATAGGTTTAAAATTAATCAGGGCGATGACACAGGGACAATACTCCAACAGCTACTACAAACATAATATACCATCTCCAGCTATAAGTTCAGTTACAAATCCAGTTTTTAAAATAATATAAGTGTTCCAAATTCAAAATAATTAAAAGTTGAAAAAAAGAAAAGTTTTTATGTAAAAGTATTTATGGCCAGACTAGTTATAATACGCACATTTATTTGGGTAAAAAGGCTTGATAATACAAATACATCTTATATATAATTTTTATTTAATTATATAATAAATCCCACGAGAAAATCTTTAAGGTTTTTATGTATATTTGAAGCAATGTTCAAAACGACAATTGACCGTTTTCACCTATTCCCAATAATTTTTGACACGAATTCCTTCACTAACTTCATAGTTGTAAATAGCTGGTTAGCGTGAAAGTCGATGGCGGGCTCGCATCCGAGAACCGATAAAGGGATCATGCATTGCAATAAAGAGAGAAACGCCTCGTTAACTGTAGCAATCGTAAACATACTTCGGCGAAACAATCGACACTGAAGATGTACTCAAACTTTTCTCACGCTAGGCATGTGCCATACGCATATTTTCACTAAGTTTTAACAGTAAAAGGCTTGGTACAAAGTACATATGAACCTAATAGGTCTAATTATATCGTTCATTTGTATTGTTCCTATATAACAATGAGATTATTCCAACGCACACATACAGTATTTACTATATTCTTAACATAGTAATTATAAATATTGAAAATTAATAAAAAGAAAATTTGAACCAATTTAAAAAGTTTGGTCCCTGTAGCTGTGTACCTTTAATGCTGGCAGCATTTCCTCGCTGTATTGCGATACTTACTCGTTGAGCGACGAAAGTACCAGCTCTGGGGTCACTGGTAGATAGTACCAGTCGCCAACTTTTTAATTATCGCCTTAGCAGTTAAACCCCACAGCCCAAGACAGTACCCCAAACGGAACAAAATCAATCTTGAAGGAATGACTCTTATATTTGAGCCGTTTATTACTTTCCGCCTGCTCTGCTGTGGTGCCAGCGTTTGTGTTTGTCCGAGGGAGGTGAGACGTGGCTAACGTGTCCACACAAGTAGCATCCCATACCAAAGCCCGTCTCATCCTCCAAAGGATCAAATAATTACATATCTACATAGGTCCATAAATGGTAATATTATCTTTAATTTACAAAGGTAAAATTGTAGAAAACACATATTTCAGATTTACTAAACTGTTTTTTTATAATATTTCCATCTCAAAGCTTTTACGTTAAGCAGTAGGACGCTATTAACATAATTAAACACTGGCTAAAACACGTGGCCCGCCGGTGGCCGTAGTTCCGCGAATCACATTTTATTGGCTATGGGCTGATGAAAGCTAACGAACACACAACATTGCCTTCGAGGAATCTATCTTAGTAATAAGCTAAAGGACTGAAATAGTATTTCTTCCTATTAGCTTTGAAAATACAAAACCTAGCATACTAAAAGTTTGGAGGAAGCTTTCAAGATAGATTTTTAGGCATAATAATAATAAAACTTCGTTTAATTTCCAATAACTACAAAAGTAGAATATACAGCTTAGATTTGTTATATACATTTTTTTTCTTGTTCTAATATCCTAACTTCCTTCAGTACCGTTGGTTGGACCACCTTTACGAATCACGGGTAAAGGCCTCCTCCAGCTTTATCCAAATACCTCTGTCCATTGCTTTCTTTCTCCATTCTCTTTCTGCTAACTCTTCTAATTCTTCTATTCACCTTTTTTTGGGGCACTATCTTCTTCCCGTTGGTCCTTTCCATATGGTTGTTTTGTTTAACGTTATCATTATTATTTGTAGCAAGAGTTGCCGAAATCGCTTTTCACTATTTTTTTTAAATTGATCATTACTTTTTATTATTTTATCATGATTGTATTGTCTGGCGTTACGTGAATAACTGCGGTGATATAAATAATTTTTTAGTAGGTTCTAATTTACAATGATTTTTACTTGGATAATTCAATTAAATCTTCGGATTACCTGTGAAGTAATGGTTTTGAATTATAGATCCTAGTTAGAATGATGTATGAATTTGACACTGATATGATAACCATGACTTAGCATAGGTACATGTACTGTTTGTGAATTATAGAACTTCATATTTATAAAAGCTTCTTGTTTAAGGCTGTTATTTTGATAAATTTAATGGTATCGGTAATAAAAATAGAACATATTAAAAGTGTATTAGAAATCGAAATAACCTAAACCCATCTCATTCCAGAGACCCGATGGAACTGATGTTAATGGAGCAGCAATTACTCCGGTCACCACTACGCCTCTACGCTGGATCTGGCGACGAAGAGGCCGAGAAGCGAGCTGCCTGGGCGCGAACACCACCAGCATTACAGCTCCTGGCCCTTGGACGACCTTGGCCCTGGCCACAGCCGTTGAACCTTCCACCAGATCTGTGGCTGCAGAAGCCGACGCCGCCCCTTCGATATTGCCCTTACCCGCCCCCGCAGAGACCAGACCACAGCCCTTCTCCAAGACATCCCTTGTAAGCTGATTGTACGGCTGGACGGATTGATACTGTTAATTAAAAATTATTTATAATTGACACATAAATCTGGCGTTTTGCATATGGAATAACCTGGAAAAATTAATTAATGTGATAGACTTTATTTCATATGCAATAGGGCTCATAATGGTTCCTACCCCAAAATTAATTGTATAGTTAGATTGGTAAGCAATAGTTACCTGCACAGTATACTTTCACTATAAGGGCGTGTCCCCACTGTGCTGGTTCCGGAAATAAGGTTTATGAATCTCATACCAAAACGTTCGTAAAGAATTATGATTAAATGTGATCATTTGTCCCTTTCTGTTAATTGCTATTTACGCTGTGATGGAAAGAGACAAAATAGTGAGCTGCATAAAGGGGGCTAAAAGAAGCACATATAAATATATCATAGATTTCTATGTTTTCATTAATTTGTCCGGTCCGGGCACAGTGTAAATCTAAAACCTAGGTAATAATTTGTTTCTGTAAATTTTCTTCATTAACCAAAGATTTGTTAAAAAGCATTCCATTGACTAAAACCCTTCTTTACCACTGGATTAAAACACGTTTATTCTTATATTGAAACACTATTTTACATTAACAAAACTCCAAATTCCTCGAAACATACCTTATTTTTAAAAACTGAACCAGTCAATTGCACTTCTATGAAAGTGCTTTTGTCTCTTTCTGTCAAATTGCGTTTACGCTGTGTTGAAAAGAGACAGAAGTACACTTTATAAATGCAATGATACAGATTTTTTACACCTAAGATAATATTGAAAACGAGTTTTAATCCCTGTAAAACTGTTAACCTTACTGTTTAAGTTAAAAAGACATAGTATTTAGTTAAACCCGGTAAGCCAGTGATACAATTTAATAGTATTAATGCGTGTAAAATATATTTATATTTCCTATGTATAGTAGTTGATTAAATTATTTTTCTAGAATAAGCATTGTATATAGGGGTCATGTAGAAAATTCTATTTGATATAAAGTTTTAATGTAGATAACGCGATTGCTCATAATGCTATTTATTATAAACAATTAAATAAATGGTTTATAAAAATGTTTACGATAATTCGATTACAATTATTAATTAAAATGTCATCGTCACAGATTAACGTATTTCAGGCGTATGACACAATGACAAATGACCACTGTCAAATGTCAAACATGATAACCGTATTAACAGTTGAAAACTTGACTTATGTTTAACGCTTTAAATTTAAATAACTCTTAGAAATCGATGTTTAGTGTTTAATTAAAAGACATTTTGTTCAAAGACAATTATTGCAAAATAAATACTCTGTGAACCTCCATAGATTACAAAGCATTCCATTTTCAAAAGTTGGCTTTTACTTGCCTCACCTTTACATCGAACTTGTTTTTTTATTTGTATGTTATATGGGTTATTTTGAAGTAATTATTAGAGATAAGGGCTCAATTAACATTCTTATAATTTGTGTGTAATTCCAAATAAAATACACTTTAAATATAAAATACTGCTTATGGATTTTAACGTGTTTTTATATAGATACATATTTTCTTTGTATTTTAACCTGTTCCTGTAAGATAATTTGTGAGCAAATCGCGTCGTAGTACACATATCAGGGTCTTTCCCTAAGTGTTAATAAATGAACTCAAATTAAAGCGTTGTTTTATTTTAATAGAGAAATATGTTTCGTGTTTTGGTTTAAACAAGAATCACTCATCACGTTTCTGCTGATCACGTGTCATCATCAAGATTTTTTATATGGCAAGTGAGACAAGTGGCGCCACCAACTTATCTTTCAACCTTTTAATATTTTTATCACTAATGTATAAAACTTTTGGAAATCATATTTAATAATAAATGATTATTATCACTTTTTAACTACGTGTTGAGAGTACTTTTTATAACAAAATCTTTTTGTTTGTGGTTTAAGCACAATTAAATTAGAAAACTTAAAATTTAACCTTCAAACTCGTACTATACCTTTTTGGTAACCTTTTGAAAACATATTCTTGGGAGACTATTTGTCAGACAGTCATTAACTCCGTAGACGTAATGACGTCTATATATATATATAGATAGATACAGATATATCAGAGCCATACGCCAGCATTTCAGAAGTATCTCTTTTGAACAAATTTAAACCTGTTTAGAAAAATCAATTTATTTAGGTCTAGTAACTAAAGTTAATTTTCGTTCCAAACATTTCTACATTCAAACTATATACATTTTCTATATTTCGTAAAACTATTAAAAACTGCAATTCTTCAATAATAGCTGAGCCTTTACGACCACAATGTTCTTTAGGTGAGACGTTTATAAGGCTGGAAACAGCAAATAATCATCACACTTCCATTTTAGATCTTCATTCGTGTCATTAGGCATTATTAAGCTCATATATCGATGATCGACCTTCCGTCCGGCCGGTAATTGCCGACGATGTAGCGGCCTACAAATTGAAAGCGGCCGCAGCCCGAGGCATGTATTGATGGATCTGCTGCCATCGGGAAATTATAGCCAGCCCTTGCGACAGCTCCGCAAATTGTGCGTATAATGCTAGTAAATAATACGTCCTTCGCTATAAATTCATACGCGGCTAGAGAATATGTTAAACGTGTCGGGAATCGCGTGACCGACACGCGCTTTTTTCATTTAATTTTATCTCGGAAATAATGTGAGGTGACATCAAAGGACGCGATCTCCCTTTGTCTCGTAGGAACAGCTTAACATGTTTATGCGAGGTGCGCTTGCGCAGAGCATAAATTAACGCGAGCGTATTTCGCAGACACCGGCTGATTGACTCCTTTCATTACCATTCGCATTGTTCGGCTCCAGAGAAAAATTGCCATCCACCTGGAATCACAACACATTTCATAATTATGGACTATTGTGGCGTTGTCTGAGCTAATTCCCCTTAAACGTTCCTCTCGCCCGAGGTGTGTCCGAGATATATTAGTGAGCGTAAAGATCAACTGTGATTCCATAATGGTTTGCGTTGATTAGTTTTCGACGGAAACACTAGTTCGAGGAAAGGTCTGGGCCATTTAATATTCTGTCAGAGGTGAAGTACCGTCAATAGAGCATTGTGGGTTGAAAGATGTTCGAGTACATTATGAGCTATGAACTTGACACCTATGATGAAAACTGTTATAATAATTTGCAGACGTGACTCCGTGTTATTCGCAAGGTATTGATATATGGTTTATAGCAAAGGTATCATCTAGTTACATTAATTACGTTCATTTATTAAACATTATTGAGTATTGTTCTTAGCCGTCAGATCGAACGATTAAACATGCTGGAGGGTTCTAAGTTCATGTGCGATCTTCGGTGGGTCATGCCCCGAGATTACATCTTTTACATCATATCTGTTTCTGTGGGAACTTCTGATATAATTATTTGTTATATAGTCAGGAAATATAGAAAAACTTAACAGATTTATATAGAGATAATCTATGGGACTTATGATTAATTGGAGTGGTTTTCAATGTTGTGCCTTAAGTCGTGTAATCGTCGCTGCTTTAAAATTATTTATTTAGTTTCATTCAATTACATATCTTTACTAAAGAATTCACAATCTAATGATGAAAAACCAATGACAAGAAACGTGAAATTGGTCCAAATCGAAGCAATTCTTGGCAAATGCCCATTTTCAATCAAGTACCGTGTGGAGCAATCTAGCTGTAGCTTAGGTATAGTCTGAATCGAATTAGCATGGACAAGCTGCGTGGCTAACGTTTTTCTAAGTCAGTGTTGCAATTGTAACGGTGTCCGGCTGTCGGCCACGTCCGGCGTCAGCTGCCACTCTGTTCCATAGACAAGTAAATAGAGGACTAATCGTCGCGTCTAGCGCGGGAAACGACGAATTACTACGTCACAGTGTGACCAGCTATTGCTTTGTTCGCATAGATGAAATTGATGCGATTTGGCCGCTGCGGGTGTGTGAATAGGATTAATGCAAATGCGATGTTTATGTGAGCCAATTTGCTGTTTAGCATCAGGTTTATCTATATAATAGAAACTTTAAATAGGTATAAAGTAATAACTTACTTCATTGCTTTGGAGTTATTTACACCTAACTGTAACAATTATGTGTTGCGCAATTGATTTCCGCAAACCGCAAACCGTCTTCGATATATTTTATAGTTCAATAATTTGTCAACTAAGCAGTGTTGGCCTAGTGGCTTGAGCGTGCGATCTTCATCCCTGAGGTTGTAGGATCAATCCCCGGCTGTGCACCAATGGACTTTCATTCTAAGTGCGCAGTTAACATTCGCTCAAACGGTGAAGGAAAATATCGTTAGAAAACCGGCTTTGGGTCTAACCCAAAAAGTCGACGGCGTTTGTCAGGAACAGGATCATCACCTACTTGCCTTAGATTGACTAATGATTATGAAACCGATACAGAAATCTGAGGCCTCGACCTATAAAGGTTGTAGCGCCACTGATTTTTAAAATATTAGTTAACTAATTCTTGCACTGAATATAAAGACATCATAACAGAACCCAATTTCGATATAATTGGAACTAAAACTGGTGTTTCAAACTAGTACTGTGAACTATTGAGATTAGCTATTGTGCAAAGCAAAAATCTCGGTGGAACTTAGCACGCTTCTTAGTAACTTAAATTATAATATTCCCTTTTAAGATTTGTTTCAAGGCTAGTCTAGAACAAATCGAGCTGTAGTTAATTGTAGGGTTTGAGAAACAGGCGGTTTGTGTAAAGTACAGTGATTATGGGTATCGTGACTGGCGGCGCGGAGAGCTGCCGTCTTTACCTTGTGATCGACACTAGACAGCTTAATGGATCAACTTTAGGCATATAAATCCTTGAATACCAAGGTTTTGACATATCTATTTTAATAAACAATGAGTTAAGTTCATATGTTATAAAATAATATCTTAAATAACAAGTGTCTCAAAAGAAAGTTCCAGCAGGGCGGAGCAACGTCACACACGTCCAATACGTCTATGCCACGAGTTCGTGAAATTTTCTCAGGCAAATTGAT